TGGGCAGTTGGGGTCCCGCGCCCCTTTACCCCCCAGCCACTGGCTGGCCCAGATTTGTGTTCCTAAAAGAAAAAAGTCAGATTCAAGATGAAACAGAACCTGAGTACACTTACAAATAACTAGAAGCAATAAAAAAATGTAGTCCATTCTTTTTTAATCTCAGCCATCCTGACTGCAATAATATATACAGTAATTAAATGTAAAATAATAATAATAAAACAACAAAACCACTTAGTCCACAAAATATTTGCCAGATCCAGACAGGTTTACGTCAGCTGAGCAAGGATTCTTCCCTTCTACTGACTGTTCCGGAGCCTGGGAGTGGAGCTGATTTGAAGGGAGGAAGTTGGGCTGAATTTGTAGATGAGGCTCTGGCTCTCCACCAGCACACGTGGAGCGTGCTGTAGGTCTGTACCAGGAGCTTGATCTGCGGCTGGGACAGAGCTCTCTCCACAGGGACCCTACCTCTTATGGAGAACAGACAGTAAACCAATCCCCCCTTTAATAGCAGAGAACGTTAGACTGTGAGGTCTGGGAGGAGAGACATGCAGACAGAGCAAGGGGGTGGGGAGCATGGGTGAGGCCTGGGACTGGGAGACCCCCCCTCTGGGGTTGTCTTGGAAACGAAGAAAGGGGAGGGCTTAAGGGCAGTCAGGACAGAAATGGAGCCTGTAGGCTGTGGGGTTAGAGGCAAGGGGGGCCCTGCGGACAGTCTTTGGGAACCATCTCCAAGGAAGCAGTAATGGAAGAGCTACTGTGGCCTCTGAGAGGGCAGCACAGGGACTAGGGAGAGGAAGCCAGCTGGAGGAAGGGGTGGCAGCGTGGCCCCCGGCAGGACTGAGGAAAAGGGCCTTGCCAAGATGGGAGCCAACCAGAAGGTGGGAAGGGAGGGCTGGGTGTGAACTGCCCACGCTGGGGGCTGTGTCCCCAGGCTGAGGTGTGGGAGGCATCAGAGAGAGCTGAAACTGAAGCCAAGGGGAGTGGCCTGGACAGTGAGGGCTTCTGAGCAACCTTGGTGCAGGCCTTAGGCTGGGGATGGCTGCAGGGCAGCGGGTTAGGGTCTGCCTCTGCGCCAGGCACTATGACGGGTGTTTTACCCACACGAGCTTCTCCACGCCGAGGAGGCCTATTTGTGTCTGGATGTGTGTGGTGGGAGGTGGGGAAGACATGGAGGTGGCGAGAATGAGGGATCTTTCCGGAATTCTGGCCCTGATAGGAGGCGGTGCAAGCAGAGGGGCCCGAGCATCCAGCACGTCCTCAGCCCAAGGACAAAGACAGGACAGAGAGGCCAAACAAGGGTGGCCCTGCCTGGGAGGTGGGGTCTCCCGGGGCCCCACCTGAGGGAGGGCCTGAGGCCACTTAGGACCCCTGTCCTTTGACGCCTCCCCCGGAAGCCCACTGGAGGACGTCATGTCTGTGCTATGGGTATTGTTATTTTTGCTGTCTGCCGAGGTGGTGGTGGGACTGGCTGGGATAACATGCTGTAGGTGCAGTCCCTCTCAGGGCCAGCACAAAGCAGGGGCTCTGGTGCCACCATGGGCAGTGTGAGGCCCAGCTGAGCCTGGAGAGCACCCATCTGTGGGTCGCCGGTTGGCAAAGATGTGAAATTTTTTTTTTTTCCCCAAAAGGCTCAGTGGTGCAAATAGGATGGATGAGCTCACCAGGGGTGGGGGTGTCAGGGCAGGTACAGGCCCCGGTAAGGTTCAGTCTTCTCTGGGCCCACCTAGGCCATGGGCAGGTTTGCAGGGAGAAGCGGAGGCAGTGGATGCTGGCCCAAGGCTGGTCTGAAGTTCTGGCTATGGACTGGGGGCAGCTGCCTCCTGGCCTCTTCCAGTCACCATCTCCAGGAACCTCACAGCTGGCCACAGTAGGTTGGGGGCTGGGAGCTGGGAGCCAGGCAGGTGGGAGGGCTGGGGAGGCAGGGAGTTGGAGCCTAGTGCAGGAGGGGCAGGGCAGGAAGATGGTGCAGACACCAGGGGCCTGGGAGCAGTTTCCTCTCCCCAGGGCTAGGCCACAGGAAACCGGCTGGGAGCCTCCCAGGTGCTTCCTGCAGATAAGTGAGCCTTCCTGCCCCCTCCCATCCTGCCCCAGCCCATGGGGACCCTCAGCAGCACCACTCAGGCCAGACCAGTGGCCTTGGGAGGAGCCTGGACAGGGTATGGGAGATCTAAGCACCCTGGGACCACACTTCCCGGCAGAGGTTCCACTCAGGCCTGGGGAGGACGCAGGAGCAGACCGGCAGACAGCGCTGGGACCACTCTACTGGTCAGGGTCAGCGGAGTACTGGGGAGGCAAGGGGCATTCCTCAGGCGTGGCAGGTGGGGGAGGGAGCCTTGACCCCAGCCTGTCCTGGGGACAGAGTGGTGGTCTCCACAAGGGGTCAGGAGGCATTGTGGTGGTAGGTGGTGGCTGAGGTGCTCTGTGGGACGGGGGCTCGTTCTTGGAGGACATCGCAGGACGACCCACATTGCAACGGGGAGTTAGGGAGGCTTTCCCAGTGTGGGGGAAGGGCAATCCACGGTTATTCTGGGGGCCACCAGCTCTGTGGGGAATCCAGGCTGCTGTCAGATGGGGTGGCAGGGTTAGGGTCTGTCTTCTACCCGAGGTGCAAGGTGTCCCCACGTTGGGAGGGATCTGTGAGGGGTCCAAGCACTGCCCTCCGGGCTGTGGGCCTCTTCTCCAGGACCGGGTCTAGCAAAGCGGAAGGAGGGCTCTGGGCGAGTCAGATCCCGGGTATCCCGACCTTTCGGGGCTGTCTTGGAGCACTCGTTTTGCAGCGCTGGGTGGTTCTGAGGCTCCTCAGGGTGGGGGGCCTGGTTCGGTGGTGCGGAGCTGGTGACTTCGCGGCGCTCCCCCCTCCTCCGCCCACTCATCACCCCCCTCCTGCGTTGCCACGACAACGCGTAAAACTAAAATTCACTTCCTCATCGCAGGTGGAGACTAGTAGCGCCCCCTCCCCTAAACCCTTTCTCGTAGGTCGCGCCCCCACCCTGTCGTCGCTAAGGTGACAGGGAGGGGGCGACAGTCGTTGGCTCTAGGCCGACCAGGTGGTCTGAGGACAGGGCCCTGGGAGTCCGGACCGAACTCCCCAAACTCGGCTAGGGTGGAAAGCCGCGCCGCACGCCACTGGGCGTGGCAGAAAGGGTTAAAGCGGAGGGCCTCACCCCTGGCCCCCGGACCCGGGCAGGGCTGGCCCCACCATCTCCTTGGGCCTGGAGTGGGGGTCGGTGGCGTTGGGGGGAAGCCGTCACCTCCGGAAATCAATTCTCCTGTTTTTCTCTCTCCTTCCTGCTCTTCCTTGGTCTCCGTGCCCCAACGCGGCCCCACCCCAGCTCCAGGACCCCCTCCTCCGCCGCACCTCGCCCGGTGGTC